AGCACCACCGGTCTCCCCCTCGACAAGGACAAAGGCAATGGGGAAAATGTTGTTGTTGCCATCTTGTGCAACTTCCATCAGTAGCGTGCCTTTGTACTTCCCATACAACCAAGTCCCATCAATTTGTATAATTGGTTTGCATGATGCAAACCCTGTGATGCATGGTTGAAATACCCAAAACACTCGACTGAATATTTCGTTGCCGTTTAGTAGACTACCGTCTTGGGCGTATGCTGGCACTGTTTCCAGAACGTAAACACTCCCCAGAGAATACGTCTTGAGTGCATTCAGGTAGCGGGGAAGTTCTTGGTATGACTCCTCCCAGTTTCCGTACACCCTTTCAATCGCCTTAGTCTTTGCTAACCACGCCTTACGGTAAGACGGAGTGTAGTTAAAAATCGTGGTGATGTGGGAGATGATTGTTTTCACCTTCAAAGATGGGTCGTTGTTGACCAGGGGTAGGATTTCTTGACAGATGAGATCGTAGTTAAGTTTTCGGTGGTCCTGTGATTGAGTGGAACTTACACAAGTGTGCGTAGTCATGGAACCTATGACCCAGCAGTCACCTCTTAATCTGTATGATGCGGTCAGCTTAAATATACAGTCAGGGTGGACACACTTGATCTTGTACCTTTCCGGGTTGACACGGTCCACCTTAAAATCAACCGAGTTGAGCATGTGGAATTTTTTGATGGCTCTGATGCATTTCTCTCTATTATGAAACTTGTCCTTCTCTTTTAAATTTTCATCCGACTGCATATACGGATTGAAAAATAAGTCAGTAGAAGGTTCATCTCCGCCCATGTTGAAGTTTGTCATGTGCGAAGGTGGTGTGTAGATTTCGTTTGCAGGAATACTAGGTATGTCATCATCGTCGGAATCATCATTCACCATTTCATCAAACTCTAACTCGTCATCTTCTTCTTCCTCATCAACTGCATCTACCACAGCTTGTTCATTCTCCAAAGGATCAACCACTTGTGTCACCTGAGGCTCTCGCAGCATAACGTACAACTCAATAGAGTCGTACCCAGAATACACATGGCTGGAAAACATATTATGGAGATCCTCGTCATCTTGAACTTCAACCTTATAAAAAATTACTTGGTTGTTTCCAAAAAAACTGGATTCAGATAAAATATCTGGGTCACCGGGCCTCGTCCAAGTTTGGCCTCCAATCGTTTTTTGAAGTACGAGAAATTGGCTTTCCCGTTTAAGAGAAATCGGATGTTTTCTGTATCTCTAAACAAAAACCCAGCGGTGGGACAAATGTATGTCTCATCGTTGAAATGTGCTTTGATGAAAAATTGTGGTGCAGAGGCCATTGCGTAGGATTGTTTGAAGGTTTGAAGGTTGGAATGTTTGAATTTTATGAGTTATTCGAAGGTTGGAATGTTTGAAGTTTATTGATTGTATGAAGGTTTGAATGTTGTAAGGTTTGAAGGTTGGAATGTTTGAATTTTATGAGTTATTCGAAGGTTTGTATGTTTGATTGTTTGAAGGTTTGAAGGTTTGATTGTAAGAACTTTTGAAGGATGGAAGATTTGACAGATTAAGTGAATCAATGTTATGATAAACGTAAGACTAAAAATTTCAATTAAGTAAGGATGTAACCGCCAAGGCTGCCAATAGTGTTACATGCATGGCATCCCAAAGGCTGTCACGTAGCCTGAGCCTAGCCAGCAACCACTCTATGAAATTTTTTTGCCTATAAATACATACCATATCATACATCTCTCACACACACACAAGTCTCACTCTCTTCTACGAAATCTTTCATAATCTCTTACACTTTCTAAGTCTTTCATACTCTCTTACACTTTCTAAGTCTTTCATAATCTCAAGCATTTTAAACAATGGCTCTTCTAACAATGGGCGATTCTCACAGAGGCACAAGGGAAAACATTGCCGCATTTGTAAGTTTCTATTTTGATTATACATTTTCCATACTTCAGATAATGCTTTGTTCATCTTACTTAATCTTATACCTTTTACGTTATGAACTCAGGACACCAAAAGATTCAGAATCCGTTCTCACAACTACCTAGCTCCCGACCCATTTATCGTATCATATCTGGAATACGCAGGTTTTGGACATGTCATAAAGATCTCCAACTGCACAATTGATTCGAAGTTCATTCTTGCAATGTTGGAAAGGTGGAGACCAGAGACCCATACATTTCACCTACCAATAGGTGAATGTACCATCACGCTAGAGGATGTGTACATACTACTAGGTCTCCCTGTCGACGGTAAGGCCGTGAACGGGTCGGTTCAACAACCCAACTCTCAGTGTGAAGAACTGTTGGGAAGGGATATGGTTGAAGGTGGTGGTGCGAGAGGTCAGGGAATACTACTCACTGAGCTTAAAAGTCATTACGCAAGTTTGGAATTAGACGAAAATTCCTCCGAGCAAGACAGGGTAGTAAAAGCCAGAACATATCTTATGATACTATTTGGTACCTTTTTATTTCCCGAAAGTACGGGAAATAGTGTAAATTTTATGTATTTACATTTACTAAGAAATTTTGAAAAAACAAGAAAATATAGTTGGGGTTCTACAGTTTTAGCCCACCTATACAGTTCCTTGTGCAAAAATGCAGTCAAGGAAAAATGTACATTTTATGGGTGCGCTTTTTTACTACAAGCCTGGGGTTGGTGGAGGATGGAGTCCTTAAACCCCGTCAACAATAACACTTTCGTTTTCCCGTACGCAACAAAGTAAGTCATCAAGTTATATCATTTATTACTATTCATCTCTTCACCAAATATATGCTAAGAATAAAATGTTTTTCATTTCCTTTAGATATTGTGTGAGGGGCATGGATTACGGCAAGAATCCAAGATTCAATGTCGCACTATACCGCAATTTGTTGGATCACTTAGGCCCGGATGATGTACGTCGCAGCTTTAAACTTTTCTTCATTTAAATTATTTATACATTACGTTTTCGTTAACCTGATTTAAATTTTATCGCAGTTCGTCTGGAGACCATATTTGGGTTTGGGCCATGATCCAAACCTGGAGGATGCAGCAATTTGGACCGCGAAGACTGCAATCATTCGGTTCAACATTGTGGAGATGCACCACAGCGACCGTGTGAAGATGCAGTTCAGAATGCATCAAGAGATACCAAGTGATCCAACTTGTTTGTCCCCATGGCATCTTAAAAGGGTCGACGCCTAGTGGGGTCTTACCAACTGGAAAGACTTCGCTCCGGAGTGGTGTAAGATGTGGCAGAGGCGTCACCGCTATGTCTTGCAATTCCCGATTTTCCTTAATCATGGTAATATGCGACACACAGATCAATATTTATCTTGGTACAGGTCGGTTAGTAACCCTGAAATGCACGTGTCTCATCCAAGGTACTTGGTTGACCCACGCACACAATGGGCACAACCCTCGTTTCCCCAACAACAAACTCAAAACCCATCAACCTCCCACCAACCCCCAAGAAGAAACAGAACCACAAACACCCAACCACAATCCCCACCACAACACAATTACACTCAAATGCCACACAACAAACCACAATCACCACCTCACTACCAATACCCCGATATGCCTCACACCCAACCACAATACCAATCACAATACCAACACACCCGCATACCCCACACACAATTTCAGTCTTCCGTATATCTCAATATGGACCCTTCAACATCCAGCCTTAGCCCTGATATGGGAATGTCGAAAGATTACGAACAAACCGACCCAGCCTACCATCAACCACAATATCACCAAACCACCCAACATCCTCAAAGATCCATTTCCTTTCTACCCACCGTACTCAGACGATCAATGCTACAGACCCACCATGGAACCCCACCCACCGCCAACACGACCAAACTTTGAGGGTATGGGTAACCGACTGTACCAAAGGATCTTCTAGATATGAAGATCTGACTGATTTTATGGATCCGGACCGCATTGACTTCGCTGGACCATCGACCCTGCCGCAGCAGGAAACGCGACGACACCCAGCACGGGAAAGGCGAGAACGGGGATGCGGAACCGGGAGTCATTACCGGGTTCCGGGAGATCACTGATTTATCTGTTTTTTTTTTCCTGTTTTTTTTATCTGTTTTTTTAATGTAATACAATTGGATGTAATTATTTTTTTTTTAATAAAAAATCCATTTTGTTGATCCTGTATCTAATACGCAATGCACCGGACAAAAAAAATTCAATTTTTGCCCTAAAAATACACCTAGGCGCCATCTCACTTGGCTTAGGACATGCCCTAAACACATAGGCGCCAAGTGAGATGGCACCTCCCCTTAAAAAATGGAAGGATGCGCCAATTGAGATGGCTACTCCTTTGGAAAGTCATCTGAAACATGGTTATTTGCGTAATTTTTTTCGAAACGCGATTATTTGCAAAAATAAAATTTAATACTTGGTTATTCAAAAAAAAATTCCCATACTGTGAGAGTAGGTGTTTTACAGGTTTTAAGATTCAGTGGCGGGCCAACGAAAGTGTGTGTTACCATTAATTTTGGCATTTTCTTAATAAAAAATTAGAATTCTCGTTTTGATTAATATGGCAATTTCTGTGTAAAGTCAAGAGACAAAAATCATAGCCTCGGACTCTTGTTTTAATATTAAAGAATTCAAATATTTTGTATTCTTGATTCTAGATCAAAAAAATATGATTCTAGATCAAAATATATTTTAAAATAAATGAGAATCACATAGCAATAAAATTTAAGTAAACCTTTCCTATCAATATGTACAAATACTCACAATTCTCATAGTCAATCATCTATTTTATACACAGCCCTGGAATTGATGAAAAGGAACTAAAAAGCTCCAGATAAACAGTTTCCAGAATCTTATGTCAGATTTCACTCCCTTCAACAGTTCAACCTAACAGGGGAAAAGGGGGAAAACAAAAAACATGGTTTCAGCTAAGAACACCAGTAAGCTACAAAGCAGTAAAAATGGATTAACTGTTGAAAAGATGCATACAGAAAGCAGAAGTCTGTTGCCGATGAAGATCATCTCCTTTTAGCATCTATGAACATGGCTCGAGTCCAGTGCTCAACATCCTCAGTTTGTGATGGCGGAGGAGGAAGAGTAGGATGTTCAACAATATCCCACCCTTCAATCAGGCACTCACGTTTTCGATCAGATGAATCAGTAGGATAAAGAAAACTAGCAGCAGAACTCGGCATATAATTCTCAATTCTCTGCAATAATTGAGAAAAGCATAAAATATATTTGTGAGGAACACGTATCTAAACTTAATCAATGTTGAATATCAAAAATCATATACAAATGAATAAAAACACAAATTCTTATGCTTTGTTAGCAAGAGTTAGTTAATTGCTAGGGTTAACCTGTCTATAAAAAGAAATAGATGGAGGATAAGAGGGCATTGAGTGAGTAATTCAGATTTGGATAGGAGAATTAAGGTTCTCATAACAACCTGAGGTGAATCATATGCTCAATTGATTAGAGAATTCTTTCTTTTATCCTTTTACACAAGTTGCTTCCTACCAAGCAAAAAGCAAGACAGCCTAATTCATTCCCCTTTATGTAAGCATTTGTATTTCAAAACATGCAAGAGTGTGTAACTACGAAATCTACAAGCATATCTCTAAAATGGCTTTAAAGGTTGATTTAGAACAAACATGAATTCAGTGAATACTGAATCGCTGTAAAAATTTAAGGAACTTCGCCCTAAAGTTTTATACACCTTTTAAGGAAAATTTGGGAATCTAAATGATACTGTAGTTGTTTGCTAGATTTAACTGCCAAGTGATGAATCAAAGACACTAAAGCAAAAAAATATGAACCAACACTACAAGCATTTTCTTCTTTCAAATTAAAAGTGGTGAGAAAAGATATTACCGATGTGGGCACATAATGTGCACTTTCCTGCAAAGTAGATGACGAAATAGCAGAGTTCATATTCCATACAGACTTGTTCAATTGTTGAACTTGTTTGCATGTCCTGAATCAAAAATAAACAAAATATTCAGGTACAATGATGTTTGGATTCTATGTAAGGGGAGGGCATTTACGCCAAACTGTGTGTTGAAAGATCACATTGCTAGAGTAAGCAAATACCAAAGCCTTTTAAAATTTCCTACATCCATCCAGTTGGTTTTATAGCTTTTGAGAGGTTTCAAATGGGGTTCTAGTAGAAGCAAGAAAATCGTCCTTTAGTAAAAACTGTGTTGAGAACTGGTTTTTCTTTTGCTTCCACTGGAACTTAAAAAACAACCTATAGAGCTCAAAAGAACATGCCCCTCGCACAATTAGTTCTTCAGAAATTTCAAAGACAAGAATACCCGGCTCCATGACAGCCAGGTTTCAGTAGAAAAAGAATATATACTATAAGGCAGAAGAGAAACAAATTAGCTATTTGGGCATCCTCAAAAGCAAAATATAACTAAAGGAAACATCGGGAACAACTTTGCTTCGTAAATTCATGAATTTTCCAAAGGAAAGGCATAATAAATATGACAATACCTAGAGCGAGCCATTTTCAAGGAGAAAACAGATTGAACTTCCTTGGATGATGAGAGAGTTGCCAATAATTTTGCAAATGCTTCGAACGTAGATGCCTCAGAAGGGACATCTGAACATAGGGAGTTGTAACAGTAAGCAGTGATGCATGCTACACTTCTCTTTAAAAGTGAAATTCCTTGTTGAATCTCGTTATATATTTGAACACTATGCGAAGAAACTAAAGAATAGTTCAAGCTACTACTCCCAGATGAGTCCAAACGAGGCCTCCTGTCAGATTCCATTGAAGCAACACCGAAATTGCTTGAACTTTTATCAGACCATGAGTTTTCTCCCCCATTAGGCGAGCAATAATATTGCCGATGTATAAAAAGAGGATATTCATTGCTGAAAGATAGAGTTATTTAGTTGAAGAAGTTTTTGAATAAAGATAAATCATGCCAAATATAATCTTAACCAAAATACCTCCTCGAGGAAGGCCGTGCATCCCAATAAGAATCACGTTGCCATATTCGAGAGCAAGAACCCTGAGGTAAAGTTAAAAATGTTCATTATCAAAATTAAAAACATTAAGTTCTCTCTAGCAGGCAATGACAAAAAGGTGGCTTAAGACCATAATATTAGATTGACAGTCATTGTTAAATACCAAACTATAAAATGTGAATATCAATTGTAGTAGGAAAAGGAACATTAACATTTTGCATACATCAAAACCCAGTGATATTTAGTAGGCTTAAGTATGTTCAGTCTTGAAAATTATACTACTTGAATTCTATTCATTTTCGTGAACCAAAAACATCTTTAAACCTATTATTATGTATCAGGGAAAACGTCAAACCTATTATTATGTATCAGGGAAAACGTCAAACCTAATATACTATAACTTAAGATATGGAAACATGCTAAAACTTTCTACAAACAAAAAATCTAGAGATCGATAAGTTGAAGAGAAATATTATATACAATAGAATATTATGGACTTGTTTGATCCAAGTAGCCAAACCCCACTTAGTGGGATAAGGCTTGGTTGTTATTGTTGTTGTATTATTATTTTAGACTCCAATCAACATTTAGGAAGGTGAAATCTTTGACAACCAATAATCATCAAAATCAGCATAAGAATAAGCGCCAAACAGATACAAGTTTGGAACATGCTCTAGAACTTATTTCAAAAAACGAAAGGAAAACTTTCATGTGGATGAGACCCTATGCACCATCCGTTCATGCAAAATCAATCTCAACCAAGTTAAAAATACAAGAATTCTAATGCTACATTGACACTCCTAAGCAATCAAATGATAATGGCTAACATAACCATCCTTAACCAGAATATACCAAAACTGGTGATCTTTAAGAAAACAGTAACCCATTCATTTGACACCAATTTAATGCTTACCGCAAAACCTGTGTTATGAAGTGCTGGGGCAGCCAAGTTGTGAACAACAAGATTTAGAAGTTGCACCATGTATCTGCTTTCCAAATTACAAACATGAATATAACTGGTTACTATGCAAGAATATTCAACTGAAGTTTAATTTGTGTAACAATATCAATAAGGAGTCTAGACTATTGGAAGAAGTAACTCAAATAGGACAGCATATGTACATATGAAATTAAATCTTTAAGCATAAAACAAAATGTTGCCTGATACCAATATGGGAATTCACTTGTAAAAATGAACTAATGCATGAACTAAAATCTTGAGGGAGAAACAACTTACCCTAAAGATACGGAAAGATCTTCTGGTGGAACAGACTTGGGATCAACTGCTCTTGGCAAGAGTGCATTGCAAATTTGATCATATAATTCATCCTTTCCCTGTATATTGACTACTACCTGACACCATAAGGACAATAGCGTTTGAGCATGCTTGAACTGACTAACAGATGCAATTAAAAAAAACAAGTTAACATTATATTTGGCTACAGTTTTGTAGTCTTGAAAAATTATTTTCTAGAACATTTGTTCTGGCCTAAACTTTATAATGAAGAAAACAGTTTCTCGTCTCTTGTGTTTCTCCAATAGAGAGCCTTATTTTTCTTAAATTGTGTACGGAAAACAATTTTTTGGCATCAGATAGAAACCAACGGATATAGAATAGAAATAGGGGAAATCCCTTGAATTACAAAATAATATTGCAGAACTTTGAGGGTCTGCACCTCCCTAATGCCAAAATGGCCCTTTTCCTATCCATTCATGCAAAACCAATCCCAACCAAGAACGTTTTGAAAGGAAGTTTAACTTCAAAAATCATATATCATTGACATGAACCAACAAAATATCTATCAGCACATATTTACTTTACCTGGCGTAGTGGAAACAACTTGCATATCTGTTTTATGACCACAGACTGTTTATGAAGACGCTCGGCGGTGATCGCCCCCTGCAATATAATAATACGAGCATAAATTTTGAAGCTCATCTAAAACTAATGATATTCCACATGATTTAGAAATTGAGCATCAAAGGAACATACATGTTCAATTGTTATGTGATTGAACATCAAAGAAACGCAGACTGTATAATAAAATAAAATAATATGCGGAAATTTACAACTGTCGGAAGTAAAATAAACAAATAGTGCTCACATGCCCTAAGCTTTGGGTACATATTAGATTAGGGTAAAACTTCTCCAGTTGCTCCACTCGATTCTTTTCCAACTGCAAATATGTACAATAATAAATCATCCAACATCTTCATATATATTTCACATCAAACTTGATGAGCAACTTCCGCGACCATAGCAATAGCATTAGCAGATAAAGGTCAAAAGAAGTAAGAAAATACCATAGAAAGGGCAGAATCAAGTACTCCATATTTAAGTTTCAGATCAGCAGACATAGCCTCATTCTTAGCTCGTCCTGTAAGGTTTCGGATTATGCTAAGTTCAAATAGTGAAATATTCATGTCAAGAATTTCATTATGGTATACGAAGGTTTCTAACCTTGAGTAACTTGTTGTTGACTATGGTGGAGCTTCTCCCTCAACCTTGCAAGCTTTTCGTGTCGAAGCACTCTCCAATTTGTTTGATCATCTCCCTTTCCCTTATTAATATCAAACACAAACTTATAGCTTTAACTGAATACTTCGATAGTGACACTGACACGTCTACACCAGTAATAATTTGAAAAAATAAATAGAATTCAAACCTTACGGACAAGAACTTGGCTCAATTTAGAATACAAGAAATCTCGACGCTCTTTCAATGATTTCAACGTAGTGTAATACTCATTTAACCTATAAAAATCAAATCAAATCAAACCAAATCAGCACAATTTCGAAAACCTAGAATGGAAATTCAATAAATTAATTAATGAAGTAAAAGCGTATACTTGTAGTTGACACAAATAGAACATATAGAAGGTTGATTTGAATTCTCGCATATGGTGCAATTGTTGGTTTTTCTCGCCATCTCCAGCTTCTCACCAAACGATAAATCTTTCAATCCCGCGAGTTACCGATGATATCCTGTTGAGTGGGATCAGTTATTGTGACGGTAAAGAACGGTAGAGAGAGAGAGAGAGAGAGAGAGGGGTTGAAACCCTTGATAAATACGGAGGAAGAAGGGTTGCGGAAACGAAGGAAGCAATGTTTAAACTTTAAACGCATCGTTTGAATTGCAATTTATACGATTCACGGTGATCTCTTCCGTTTCAAATTTGTTAAACGCATAGTTTAACAAAAAAAATATACACTTAAATAATTCTCATTTTTTAAATGATATGGAATTTAAATGAGTTGATAAATTTTAGGGGAATTTATATTTTTTATAGTTTATATATTAAAATAATTAACTTTATTAGTGTAATGATAAGTTGTCTAAAACACTCTAGTAGAGTGATGGTCGCAGTTGACCGAAGATGAAGGTGGTGTTGTTGTTCCCTTATGCGATTGTAGTGATAACTCCATCACTTAACTCTCAATTGAAGGACGATAGTATTATGAGTGTTCGCGGTGCGGTTTGAGCGGTTTTGAAATAAAAAATCATTCGAATTGTAAAAGAGAAAAATATGCGGTTCGATTTAATTCGGTTGATTTTTAGAAATAAATTTGAATCAAACCAAATCAAACTAATGCGGTTTGGATTAGTTCGGTTGGTTCGGTTTTTTATTACAAAAATTATTAAACCATACATACATATATAGAAGAAAATATAATTTTGTGTTTAATTATTCATATATTACCATAAAAAATTTATAATTGTCAAAATAAGTTTGTAATTTGATACAGAAAATTATGTATTATAATTTTATCTAAGTCTAAAAAATGATATAGACAAGATTGCATTCTTAAATAAATATTATACAAAGAATATCATAAAATATATTTTGTGAAAATAGTATTTATAAATGAATAATATTTTATATTTTTTATGATTTGTAAGTTAAAATAAATATCATACAAAGTATGATAAAATATACACAAAATACATATTGATTTTTCTAAAGAATTAAAGAAATATATAATGGTTAGTAAGATTTTATAACATAATGCGGTTTTGTTTGGTTTGGTTTGATTTGTAAAATACAAACCGCAAACCGATCTGAACTATCCGGTTCCGTTAGAAAATGACCCAAACACATCCGAACCAAATGCGGTTTTTTGCAGTTTCGGTTTGATTCAGTTTAGCTTTGCAGTTTTCTATTGGGCCGGTTTGATTTTGAACACCCTTAGGTAGTACAAACGTGATGGATCTAGCGGCAAGAAACTTGAAACTCTGAGCAATGTGTGACCATTAATGGCGAAATCAGAATGGGGGAAAGAGACAAAAGATGAAGAGGAACAACAAGAAACAACAAAACCATGGGTGGAGATTATCAAAGGTAACAATGTTCCCTCTAACGGAATTGAAATTATGTATACTGCTTTTATGGTTGTAAATAGAGATATTGAGGTTGTAATTGAAGAACATGATATTCAATCAGATAAGCAATATTGGGCAAACGTGCTTATTATGCATGCCATGGGTGACTCGTTGTCCATGAGCACAGTGAACAAGTTCATGACGAAAACATGGAATTTTGTTTCGCTACTAGAGCTATACTATAATGACGAGGGTTACTTCATTATTAGATTCAAATCAAAAGAAGATAGAGATGTTGTTTTGATGTGAGGCTCATACACAATTTTTTGTAAGCATATGTTCCTTCATGAGTGAACAATTGAGTTTAAGTTGAAAGAAGATGTACTTTGAACACTCCTAATATGGATTCTCTTCCCGCAACTACCAATGATTTACTGGAGGGAAAGAAGCATTGGAAATATAGCAAGCGCCATTGGAAAACCGTTGATGACTGATGAGTGCATTCCATTGATTTACTAAGAAATTGTATGTGTCTTACGTTCAAGTTTTAATTGAAGTAGATGTCACTACAAAACTAAAGAATATTGTTACTATTAGAGAGCTTAAGGGGAACAAAGTAAGTCAACGAGTGGAGTATGAGTAGAAACCACCCTACTGCAAAAGTTGCAATAAGGTTAGACATAAGTGCAAAAAGAAAAAGGACCAACAAAAAGAGAAGCCTGAAAATCAAATGTGGAAACCAAAGAAAGGAAACACAATGAAGTTGTTGTTGAAGAACCTACCAGCAAAGAAGAAAATAAGAAAGATAAGGGGAAAGAACATGGTGAAGATCCAACCACATGGACAACTGTGAAGTCGCCACTCAAGGTGTAACACTTTAAACCCCACAATACAAGTAATGTGCAATTTAATTATATATTATAACCACACAGGATGACACACACACATCAAAACACATAACCAGCTCTGAAATACGGGTTACAACAGAATAGTTAAATAAACGTATTTTTTTACCTAAGATTTGTATATGACATCCAACTCATCTGATATGTACTTGGGATGTTTACTCAACATCCAACTCATATGATTTAGATCAAGTACTCATAAAATAAGGTATTTAAATACCTGTCCTTGCATGTTCACCTAAAAGTTTACGGTATCATTGCAGCGGAAACATTAATAAAACATGCAACAACAACAATGCAGCTCACAATAATTAGTCTTATAAATTATAACTTCATAGCATAATCAAAAGAGTTATAACAATCACCCTAAAACAACTTAGAATCTTCACAACATAAATGGTCTTTCACTTTAACATAAACAATATAAGAATCGATTCAAACGTTCACCCCCAACCCAATGTTACATGATTAGAGCAAAGAACCACTAGTAAAAGCGATAAACTAAGGAAGTAACTTCAAGGCTATCTTCCACTTACTTCAACAATGTTACTCCCGAGTATATGCATGATTCCCATGTAAAGGCAACATTCAAACAGAAGTGGTGAGAATATAATTCAATAATAACAATATAAATATAAGATAGAGCATAACATCTACACAATCATGCACCACAACATAACACATTCTCACACCTAATTAATGATCAACATCATACACATCAACACATCATCAATAATCAATATGAATCAACATATCATTATAATTCATCGAACAACATAACACCAATAAATTATGCAATACAATACAAATGCAACGCACTCAATAATTGACTCATCGTGCATGTGGTACCAATTTATGATCACTCGGGTCCATTTCACTCCATGATCCCCATCAAAGAATCGATTTCCTCTTAGAACCCGAGCATACCAAAATCTTTACCATCACCATAGGTAACGCTTCACTAATTCTCCATAGTAGGAATTAGCTACTTGCACCTGATCCATCACCATAAGACTGAGGTTCATCATAAAGGACCAAAGTTCATACAACATGAATGCATGGACTCTCAACATGCAACAACAACACATACACATTAGCCTCTCTTCTGACCGTGTATGCCACCAACAACATAATCACCATAAACATATCATGTACATATTCGGACATGCATCATCATTAACAACATTATCACAACAACATCATCAACATCACCTCATAACAACATCATCAACATCACATCATAATAACATCATCAACATCACATCATAATAACTGCATCACAACAAATAGTCATGCTCGATAATCATTATCACTACATGTAACCATCTTTATCACAATATTATTATAACGACATTATCATAACAACACTACATAGATTAGTCACTCTTAATCAATTATTTATCATTAGCATATAAGAATCTCCATCATAACACATCAATCTCATTGAACAACATCATCAATATCACCATGAACATAATAAAATTGGTTAAGAAAAGTCATTTTTCACATGACATTCAATAATCATATAAAATATAACTCAAATACTAACATTAATCAATATTTCTATGCGTTAGCTTTCTAACGCTTCGAACTACACTCAATTTGGACTTACGGAGCCAAAGTTACGCTCATTATGTCGTCACTCGCTACATGTTTGCTAACTCTCACCCAACGAACTCTCATTGCCTGCTCGCTTAGAGAACGCCCAATGAACACGTCGGGACAGCAAAAACCAGAAAACATGATTTTCACCATTGGAGGCCTTCCGGACCTCCAATTTTGATCTGTAAAAACCCAGACGCTCAGAAAATCACAACCTATACAATACTCTAATTATCTCAAGTTAATTCATGATTTTAACACCATTAGATTATCCAATTATTAGTTTAAGGTTATGCACCAAACCTTCTAAGTTGCAACAATGGTGAATATGGGTTCAATCATTAAAGTAGAAAATTACACACATAAGGTACATGAAATTCATCATATAAGCAACATACAACAACATCAACAATCTCAAATTCAACATCAGTAATTAACATATACAATCCCATTCTACCATTTCATCACACCCTTATTATTGAATTCAGTTCCTACCCTTACCTTGATTCTCCTAGTAAGCAATGGAATCCCTCTTGAATTCCTCTTCTTCTACCTCTAGCCAACATTGTCTCTTTTGCCTTTGCTCTCCAATTCTACGTATTGATAAAAAAACCCTCACAATTATAGGTTTAGTCTTAACTTTATATTTAGGTTAATTCTTCCTAAATTATAAACTTGGCCCAACTCAATTCCTTTCTTACTCCCTGCTTCTTCCTCCCACTAACTCTCCTTAATTCTCATATTAGATCAATTTCCCTATTTCTCTTGTTTTATTAAATAATATAACAAAACTATTATTTTTACATAATAAAAACAATTCTAAATTATTCCATACAACCAATGGTATATTACCATGCCCCTAACTCAAAGACTCGCATTGTACAACTAAGTCAACAACTAAATACATCATAAAAAGGTATAATTAATTAAATAAAATATGGTAAAATATTCATTATGCAAAACGGGTTGTTACACAAGGGGAAGTTTAATAACTATTATGTTGATATGTTTTTAAGTTGCCATGAACTGGACATTATACTCTATTTGAATCATTTAATGAAAGTTTAAGTCCTTATGAGACTAAAATTGAAGTTGTTATGT